ATCGACCCTCATTTTAGTGCGGAAAGGGTTTGACCGCACAAGTTTCAAATCGCAATTTACCTCAGTTTTTGCCGATCGACCCTCATTTCGTGCGAAAAGGTTGCTCCAGGACAAGTCAAATCGCAATTTTACCTCAGTTTTTGCCGATCGACCATCATTTCGTGCGAAAGGGTTGCTCCGGCACAAGTAAACTCGCAATTTTACCTCAGTTTTTGCCGGTCGACCCTCATTTCGTGCGAAAGGGTTGACGTTTCGTGACTCGCCGCCGGCACCACCCTCGGCCTTAAGAGAGAAAGATAAAAAGAAGGCATGAGAGAGAAGGTGAGCAGGTGTGAAGATAAGAAGATGTGAAGATGAGCAGATGTGAACATGAGCAGATGTGAAGATGAGCAGATGTGAAGATGAGAAGATGGGAAGGTGTGAAGATGAGCAGATGTGAAGATGAGCAGATGTGAAGATGAGCAGGTGTGAAGATAAGAAGATGTGAAGATGAGCAGATGTGAAGATGAGCAGATGTGAAGATGAGCAGATGTGAAGATGAGAAGATGTGAAGATGGGAAGGTGTGAAGATGAGCAGATGTGAAGATGGGAAGGTGTGAAGATGAGCATATGTGAAGATGAGCAGATGTGAAGATGAGAAGCTGTGAAGATGGGAAGGTGTGAAGATGAGCAGATGTGAAGATGGGAAGGTGTGAAGATGAGCAGATGTGAAGATGAGCAGATGTGAAGATGAGAAGATGTGAAGATGGGAAGGTGTGAAGATGAGCAGATGTGAAGATGAGAGGATGTGAAGATGAGAGGATGTGAAGATGAGCAGATGTGAAGATGAGAGGATGTGTGAAGATGAGAGGATGTGAAGATGAGAGGATGTGAAGATGAGAGGATGTGAAGATGAGAGGATGTAAAGATGAAAAGATGTGAAGATGAGAGGATGTGAAGATGAGAGGATGTAAAGATGAAAAGATGTGAAGATGAGAGGATGTGAAGATGAGATGTGAAGATGAGAGGATGTGAAGATGAGATGTGAAGATGAGATGTGAAGATAAGAAGATGTTTTACAGACCCCCACTATTGGAAGAACCCTGCGCTCAGACGCTCTCGGGAAAAAGAAATGGTCAAGGCCGTTTGACCACACAAAAATACACAAAATGGAATTATGACTTTCCAGGTAATTATATATAAAATTACATGCATATACTTTTATATATATATGTATATATAATTATATATATATCTATACAATTAAAACCAATTATATACACATATTTATTTCCGCACCCACAGTGCCCAACACCGTTTGACAATCGAACGTGAACCGAAGGCATCAGGGGAGTGCACGGTGCCAATGGATGCAAAACATTCACCCTGCAGCACAAACAGCAAGCTCAATGCGAGTACTGGTGTGGTATCAAGAGATCTGGGAAAGCAGGTCCGTCAAACGGACATCTGTCAAATTAGTTAATTACTTGTCGCTTGCGCATCCAGTCTCCGGGATTCCAGGCGTTTTATCGGAGAGGGGAGCTGTGGGTACGTCACCTTTGAGGCTGCTTCTTTTGGGCCAGCCTCAGCTGCAAGGGCTCAGACTTGTCACAAACATCTCAACGCAAACCACAGCTGGTTCATCAAGATCTGAGAGGGCCACGTAGAGCTTTCGAAGCATTCGTCCAGCCTGCTATCTGCTCATGGATTGGTAGGCTGGTAGGCGAGCTTGGAGATACTTAAAACGCTTCAAAGATCAATACGTCAGGTTCTCTTCAAAATGACCGAGCAGCAACTCAACCGCTTACAGCAAACTGTCACACGCACACCCACTTGGACACATTTCATTAGGGCAAAAACTAAAGAACCCGAGAGCCGATATGGCCATAGAAACACCCCCCAGAAGTACTGTCGTATCATTTGAGAACTGTCCGGTGTTGGAAAACAAACGCATCAACAAAAACAAATGATCACAACATATCACAACATTTCTTCGTCAATGCATAGGCTTCGTGGAGGAAAAACACATACAGAGAACTGAAGTTCATGCCATTGCCTCGGTGCCGCAACCAAATTGCTTCCACACCTGCCACAATTCAGGGCTGCTCAGCCCTGAAATAATACTGAATGCATCTGAATGCTGGGTCAGGCACCTCCAGAACCTTGTGACACTGGCAACCTATAGCTTCGTACAAGTAGGGTATATGACAGAATTCGCCTGTTCTTTTGCCTCTTTTCGGGGCTCACTGAGCCAATGCGCGTAGTGCAATGCAGCTATTTCGTCCGTGTTCATAGTGCTCATCATATATACTAGCATAATTCACCAAAAATGCGCACACATACATACACACACGCACACACACACATATATATATATGCATACGATCCTATTATCATAAATATAAATAAACTCGAAGGAAGTTTAGAAGTCAAATTTCCGACTATATGGGCAGGTGACAAAGCAGAGGTGGGAAGAGTCAAAGAAGAGAAGAGAAGCTGCAAGAAGGTCAGAGAAGAGAAAGAGTCCGAAGAAAGAAGATGCAGGTGCGCGAAAAGGTAGACAAGTCGCGAACCACTCTGTTTTCCAATGGTTTGTGGCTCCGGAGGGTCGAAAAGTAGGCTCGCTAAAGTGGCGGGTGCGGAGCCATCTGGCCAGATCAGAGATGACAAAATTGCACGCCGTTGTGGCACGAAGCACATTTCGAAGTCAAAATGTACAAGACACACCATTCTCGGAACACTTTTGGAAGCCGTTGTAGCACGAAGCACATTTCGAAGTCAAACGTGCAAAATCGTACAAAGCACACCAACGTTGGAGCAGTTTTGGAAGTTGAGATGTCGAACAAGTGCACGCCGTTGTGGCGCGAAGATACGCGAAGCACATTTCGAAGTCAAAATGTACAGAACACCACATGTTCGCGCCACTTTTGGAGGTTCAGATGTCGTTTCGCGTGGCAGGCGCAAGGGATTGTGCACCTTGTCAAAAGTGAGCAAAACGTGAGGGTTTGTTAGCATTTCCAAAAAACGATGGCAGGCGTGGGACATTTGAAGAGGATCTGGAAAGATGCATTTCGTGGCAGGCGCAGTACAAGAGACATGTTCACCAGAGATGTTAGGAGGTCAGGGCGCTGATTTCCTAAGATGGGTTGCATTTTGGAGCATCAGATCTTCAGGTTTGCTAAGGTGATTTTGCGTGACCGGTGCAGCACTTCGTGTGACCTGGCATCACTTTTTCGTGGCAGGCGCAGTGGACTGGAAAAATCGCAAAACGAATTGGTACGAGGCCGTCAGCTCTGCTTCGTTTTTGATGTTGTCAACTTTGAAAAATGAGGAGTCTCGCACAATTCCTTCGTTTTTGACGTTGTCAAGTTCAAAACATTGAGGAAGTCTCACAGACTTGCTGCGTTTTCGATGTTAAGTTTAGACATTGAGCATGTCTCGCAGAATTGCTTCGTGCTCAAACTTGCAGGTAGACAGATAGACCGATAGACCAATAGATAGATAGATAGCTAGCTAGCTAGCTAGCTACATGTAGCTAGCTAGATAGATATACAACCATGACAACTACAACTGCAACTACAATCAACTACAACTACACCAAACTACTGCTACAACTACAACTACAAACATAATGTTGGCTGCCTAATAATAACCACCCCTAATTTGTTGAAAAAAAACATTTTTTTTTTTTTAAAGGGGGGGTCAGCATTCCAATAGTAAATTCCTGGAACCCTATGGCTGGGATCATGATATGTATCTGATAAATTCTCCTTGCTGCTTTGAAAAGGGTTTTGCTTTACTTTGCTTTCTCCAAACATCTGAAAACAAAACCAGGGGAAGCACAATTGGAATTCATTATTGCCATGCCTGGTGCAGGTTTATTATTGCTATTCTGGGGCTTGTAAACGGGATACCCTTTGTGGACCTGTTTTCTGTTTTTTTTTTTTAATAAGGGTTTTATAAGGACATCAGCTGTTTGGTAATTGGATCAGATTTCTGGAATCTAAGCTTTTGTTAATGAAAAGTGCTTGCTGCTTTGAAAAGGGTTTTGCTTTACTTTGCTTTCTCCAATCATCTGAAAAAACCATACCATGCCCTCTGGACAAGGTCAGAACATGAGTTTTTTGGCAGTACTAAAATTAAATTAGGCTAAATGACTTTTAGTATTGGAGGAAAAACTGGAGTTGGGTAAAAGTTTCTACTATTGCCATGTTGGGTCCACTATTGGCCATGCCCTCTGGACAAGGTCAGAACATGAGTTTTTTGGCAATACTAAAATCAAATTGAGCTAATTGACTTTTAGTACTAGAAATAAAACTGGAGTTGGGAAAAAATCTACATCTACTATTGACAAGGTATCATTATTGGCTAGACAACATTACTACGCTACAATACACTAATTGCACTACGCTACACTAATCCCATTACACTACGCTACATTCATTACATTACACTACGCTGATTACACTACAACTATAACATCTATAGCTGCAACTGCAACTACTGCTACATACTATTACTACTACAATCTACTACAGCTATAGCTATAGCTACAACTACACTACATTACACTACACTACGCTAAGTGCATTACACTACACTACGCTAAGTACATTACACTACACTACACTGCACTAGGCCAACTACAACTACAACTACAGCTACCCTACATTACACTACACTACACTACACTACGCTACGCTACGCTACGTTAACTACAACTACAGCTACAACTACACTACTTTACACTATACTATGACCACACTACAGCACACAGCACTACAGCACACTACACTACACTACATTGCACAACGCAACGCTACACTAACCTACACTAACTACACCACACCACAACTCCAACTGCAAATGCAACTATATTTCACTATATACGCCACGCTACATCCAGCATTTGTGTGTGAGGTGACCACTGCAACCATTGCAACCACTCCAGAAAACACAACTCCAGAAAAACAACCACCACGGTCCATCAGTGGATTCGCCCTGCCATCCATGCATCAACTCACCTCTCCTATAGTGTCCTTTCTTTGAAACTTCCGCCACTGCCTTGTGCGGTACTACTGGAATAATTAAAGAAATATTTTATCTTCATTTCTACCCCTTTTCTTCCTTGTCCAAATGCCTTCTGGCTTACCTAGCCCGCGAGGACATTGCATACTTGGCAACCCTGCCAGGCCCCTCATGGCCTCTTTGTTTTTGGCTGGCACTACATAATCCCCAGTTTTTGGTGACCTGAGAACAGAACGTGGCTAACACCATGCAGCATTCCTTGAGACTGCAACTTCAGAAGCCGAGACTTGCCCGAATTGTTGCACAATGCTGCACGCATTCGCGCCTAGATCACCCAACAACTGTGCCGCAACTCTGAGATAGAGGCGATGCATGCTGAGATGGAGACGTCCTGGTATGGGCATCTGAACTCTCTTTCTCTCTGTCTCTCTCTTTTGATTCTGCATTATTTTGATTCCTTCTACAGAATGCGTGCCCAATGGCCGAGGACTCTGTTGTTGGCATTCTTGGACAATGCGCTATGGCTGTAGCATCTCTTAAGCTGGTCTCCTGGCATCAGCCTCTGCAAACTCCTCTTCAATCTCCGCAAACCTGAGATGTGACCAGACTTGATTTCTCTCTCCACCAACATCTCAGGAGATGACCAGACTTGATTGACTCCATTATTTCAACTAGTGAGATGTGTTATCTGTTAAGTTATCGCTAGCGTGGGATAGGAAATTTCAAAAGCATGTTCCATAAGCATGTTGAAATTGAATCCTGGGTTCAAAATTATCCAGGGTCAACAAGTTTTGCAAACCAGAGACTGATTCGTTTGTGGATCATCATGATGGCCATCGTTGTCCTCGATCTCGGTCTCGACCTTTTTCTTCGGAGAATTTGGGGTACCATATGCTTAAATCTTGATCCTCAATTCTTCGACAAACTCCCATTAGCAGGACACTCCGTTCCTCCTTCTCTCCCTTTCCATCCTTTCCTTTCTGTCTGTCTTCCAGTATCTTCCACAACATGTAATTAGGTAATGAATTGAATGGCAATGGGTCATCCCGAGGTCCACCAGCTTTGTACGCACTCCATTTTCGTTTGATTTCCACATCGTCTCTGCAGAGACCTGCCATGACCTGCCTCTGCCGCTCGGATGCTTTCGCACGGCGAGGCAGGAAGCTCCATGAGTCCTCCAGGTCATGCAGTGGCATCCATTTTTTTGAGAAGATGTCGCAACCGCGCTTCTTCGTTGTATATCAAGAAATGAGCTCGATGTAGGGAGACTACATGCGCATGAATGCACCCCTTTCCAAGGCAAAGCCACCTGCCATCGTAACGAACAAACGCATGCAATATGGAGAATGAGATAGGGAGAGCCAGCTATTTCTTTTGTAAATTTACAGTGCCAGAAATCACTTGTCAAAAAAATAACTATTACAGTTAAAATTAATAATATATATACGTATATACAGTATATATATATTATATAGATATTTATAGATATCTCTGGCGGGCAGTACAAACTATTGTGCTTGGTACAGTATCAAACCGCCATGGCAACCAAAATTGGAACTGTACTCCCATTGACCCATTGATCGGACTGCAGTTCCAAAAAGTTATTTCCGGAGTTCAAGTTGCTAGATTCGTCACCCCACAAACGCGTTAGCGCTTGAGACCAAGAATGACAGGATAGGCTGGGCAAGGCATGATTTGCCAGCAAGCCAGTCCTAGGACTGGGCCATTGCAGCAAACAAGTTTGCAAGAGCCTCTGCCCCCATGCAATACAAACCTCCCGTGCTTTTTTGCAATAACTGGGTGCAACGTTGAAACAACGCCTTGGCTAGTTGAAATTCTTTCCAGCCGGCAGCCGGAGTGGCGATATTTTGAGATTCTCTGGCCAACATGAATTTAACCTGAGGCCAACCTTTTGCTGCTCACGGCACGAACATCCAAAACATGCCTACATTGCATGCAACCTGCAGTTTCAGTACAGTGTTTCCTTCTTTGCGGCCGTTCTGCCATTGATGCTGGAGCCAACTCTAGGATAACAGCGAAAACTCTACTCTCAAACTACCTTCAGCAAACAAACGCATGGCAATGTGTAAGGCTCAATTCAAGTCACATAGAACAAGGCCAGGTGTGAGTTTGCATCACGGAATTGAACTTTTAGAACTCACATTGTTCGACACAGGCCACAGGCCAAGCAATTCTGGGGCCAAATCCTGTGCTTCGAAATCAAATTGCCTGGCGAGCTCGTAGTAGTTCAGCCTGGGCTGTCCACATTGCTGCGATGCCAGAAATCCTGCCCTGGCCCGTGGACAAAACAAAATAATTACTGTAATAACTGTAATATGCACCTAACATCGACTCAAATTGCCCAGAATTAAGAACGGGCGCAATCCTACACGCTGAATATCTATAAAACATAAAAATAATATAACGGATATAACGCATTTGCGCATCAAAGGCGTGAAGGGAAAAAAATCCAACAAACCCCCACAAGAAACAAACAAAAAATCTCTGTCTGGACACCTGATTTGTGTCGAATGATGAAATGTGCCACACTCTGTAACAATGGGCCGCGCGCGCATGTATGTACAACAACATATCTCAGCATACAACCACTCGCAGGCTTTCAAGATTAGCTGGAAGTGACCAGGGGCAGAAAAACATGGTGCGATCGCGAGACGCAAAATATCGCAATACGAAGCACCAAGAACGTCTGACAAACGCCAGCAAATGTGCCTGAACAGGTCTCACATCAAGGAACAAAATTCCGAAATTAGGATGCAAAACCTTCTCTCCCTGACCAGCCCAACAGCGAGCCCATGCTGCAAACGGTCTTTTGCGTCAGGAAGTCAAGAGCATTGTGAGAAGGGCTTGGCCAGCCGCGCCCGGGTCCAGCAAAGCACTCTGAAGAATGCACACCACTTCCTCAATAGATCTCAATAGGATTTCCATGACAGCGCTGTCAGGATGCCAAAACTGGAGCCACTACAGTACAGCAAATCCAATCATGACAAGAAACATCACGCAAACAACCCGGTAACCCATCCCATCGCATACCTTGTCTTAGCCTTTTTTGCATGCAAGCACTACATAAACACTCCTTGCAAACAAAGCACCGCGCTGCTGGTCGCCACCAAGTCAGGCCGAAGTGCTGCATGCACCGTTTTGGGACAAATAGGAAGTTGGTCTTCAGCATCAGCAATGTGAACAACCACAACCTCAGCTGCATATTGCAAACATATCGACATCGGATGTTGAAAAATGTTCCGATTCGTCTTATTACTTGTCACCAAGTGTTAAGCGCGCACGTCTGAATGTAGAACCCTTAGCCCGCAGCATCGTTTTCTCATGCTTTCTCCAATCCCATTGCATGCCGCATGCCGTGATGGAGTCTGCCTGTCTGCTTCTCTAGCTACCTTTCTGGTTATATCATATCTATTCAACCTTTTCAAACTTTTCGCGATCTGACCAGAATCTATCCAACCATCTGGCTAATCTCTCTGTCTGTCTATCCATTCATTTATATCCGCCGACCCCAGGGGACCAGGGCGAGCGCACCAGAGAAGCAATGCCAGACGGAGAGTTTCAGTGAAGGGGAGGAACGAACATCTTTGAAGATTTTTAAACCTGAAGATATTTGAACCTGAAGATATTTGAAGGCATTTGAAGGCATGGAGAGCAAGAAGCAGCAAGAATAAGCAAGAGGCAAGAAGAAAAACAGATGAAAGAAGAAAGGCAGCTGCAAGAGCAAGAAAGATAGCAAGCAAGATGTGGAAGAAGAAAGCAAGCAGAAAGACAAAGAAGCAGCACGAAAGAAGAAAAGATCGAAAGACAAACAGCCAGCAAAAGAAGCAGACCTAAAAGCAACAGGTTGCACAGGAAGAATGGGAGTTGCAGAGGTTGCGAGGCGTTTGCTGAGATTTTGCGCTAGCTTCTTGTAGCTTCAGAAAGCAACGTTAGGCACGACAAGCAGCGTTCGGCACGACAGGCTACCCGAAATGAAGCCCGTCCATCATTCACTGCCATAATTTTTTTGGCCCTCCAAAGGGTTGCTTTTGGCAAGGATCCCAAGGCAAGAGCAAGGGGCCAGACCAAGCCATGGATGGGAGTTGCACACATTGCGGAGCTCATGTTCTAAGATCCCTGAGATTGCTGGAAGAATGGGAGCTGCAGAGATTGCGAGGTCGTTTACTGAGATTTTGAGCTAGTTTCTGATAGCTTCAGAAAGCAGCATTCGGAACGACAGGCTGCCCGAAATGAGGCCCATCCGTCCATGTTTTGGCACTCCGAAGGGGGTGCTTTATGGCAAGGGCCCCAAGGCAAGGGCCAGAGGCAAGAACAAGACGGGAAGAATGGAGTTGCAGAGATTGCGAGGTCGTTTATGATTTATGGAGATACGAGTACGTTTGGGAATGAAGTCACTGTCAGATGCTCGTCATGGACGTGATTGTGTTCCCTGAAAGGAAGGTTTCCAAAGCAGCCCAGCTTCTCTTTGCACAGTCCAACGTGGACGGGATGTTTGGGGGAGGGTGCGGCAAGGGCGCGGGCTCACACAGCAAGCTGGCGTTGCTGGCCAAAAGCACGGCGAGGGCATACCCGACAGCCGGCCAGGGGCCCACTTGAGGGTAAAGGATCATAAATCGATGATAAAGACGAATTAGCCCCTCTTGGACCAGCTTGGGGCCAGGGCTATGTTGGCCCGTCTTCGAGCTATGTTGGCCTATCTTGGGGCTATGTTGGCACATCTTGGGGCTATGTGGGCCCAGCTTGCGGGCCATGTTGGGTGGGGCTTCTGTTGGGCCTCTTCAGTCACAAGATCAAAAAATGGGAAAGCCGCAAAACACCGTAAATTGCGGTATGTTTGTCGGGTCGGCAAGGAGGGAGGCCTACGGCAGTGCCACGGCCACGGGGGCCTGGGGCCCCGGCCGAATTTAAAGGCTTACGCCTGACAGCCGGCCGGCCAAGCAATCCAAGCAATCTTGGCACCATGTTGGCCCTATGTTGGGCCTATGTTGGGCCTATGTTGGCCCATGTTAAGCTATCTTGGAGCTCTGTTGGGGCCATGTTTGGAACATCTGTGTTGGAACGAGCTTAAGTTGCCAATTTTCCCCCTCCTGGAGCCCAAAACCACGTAAAAACAAAGGTTTTTTAATATCGCCAAGATAAAATCTGTGGCCGCCGAAGGGCCCGAAACACCGTAAAAAACAATGTTTTTTTTTTTAACCCCGCAAGCAAAAAACACCGTAAATTATAGGTCCTTCAGTCCTGGGGAGTCGGCACGGGGTGAACCGGGGGTGGGTTGGCGGCAGGGGGCGCAGCGCCTAGGCCTCTGGCAAGGACACGGGCTGCCCCTGGGTCCATGTTGGGCCAGGTTGGGCCCTTCTTGGGCCCAGGTTGGGCCTATGTTGGCCTATGTTGGCTCTATGTTGGCCTATGTGAGCCCTATCTTGGCCCATGTTGGCCCCCGTACGTTGGCCTATGTTGGGGCTATGTTGGCCCCATGTTGGCTCATCTTGGGGCCTATGTTGAGGCTATGTTGGCGATATGTGAGACCATTTCTGTTGAAAGACTCCAAGATGCCAATTTTTCATTCCCGGACCCCTCCGCGGAACCAAAAACAACCAAAAAACCGCGGTTTTTAACTTTCGCCAACGAAAAAATTGGGATCGGCCGAGGCTACGAAACACCGCAAAAAACGATGTTTTTGTGACCTCACACACACGAAACAACGTAAATTTCAGTGGACACGGGGTGAACCGGTGGTGGGTCAGCGGCAGGGGGCGCAGCGCCTATAACCTTCGGTTACCACGGAAGGCCTCCGGCAACGAAGGGGCTACCGCCCTGTGCCGCCGACCAGCAAAGGAGCACTACAGGGATAGTCGGAGAGATGAGAAGCTGACAAGAGCATGAGCGCAACAGCTGACATGCTTTAATTCCTTCACTCTGGCGGTTTCACGGTTGAAAAAGTGGGGTAGGACTGGGAACTTCTTGGTGGCGGACATCATCTTCTGAGCCTTTCTGACATTTATCTCATTGTGTTTTTGCAGCCGGGGTTGGCCTGAGTCCGTCCTTCGGCCGTTTTGGGCTGGGGTCGTACAGATTGACGCGCGCCGTCTTTTTGTACATGCTTTTTCGTTTGCTTTCCCTCCGCCTGTCCATATATCTGTTTTCCGGTCGCTTTTTATTCGGCTGGAGGCAGCACATACATTGACTTCAATGTAGCATAGTTTTCGGCAACTGGATCACGATGGTGGGATATTTTCGACCACAGTTTTGGGGTCATTTTTTGCTGTTTTTTTGGTGCCTGCCAAAGGCCAAAACACTGTAATTTACGATGTTTTTGTCGCTTTGGCATGGAAACACAAGCTCTTGCAACATGCTGACAGCTGTGTAGATACATTTTTTCTTGCTAGAATGGTGTCCAAAAAACACTATAGTCACTATAATATATAAATACAATTATATAAATACATATAAATACGGTGATTTGTGTTCCTAGGGGCAAAGCATATCGTAAATACATGTAAATACCGTGCGAGGCGCCAAAAACAGCAATATTTACGGTGATTTTTGTCGCGAAGGCAAACAATAGCGAACCACCGCCAATATGACGGTTTTTGGAGCCATGCGCGCATCACCTTCATCATCAACAACAGCAACGATAGCTACAACTGCGACACCAGCAACGACAGCAACAACAGCCACCAGCAACAGCAGGAACCCTTGGGGCATTGCCGGTGTGCGAGCAATTTGATGTGTTCTATTCAATTCAATGCAACACATTGCAGCACTATTCTATTAAAGAACTACCGTAACTGACTATTAGCTCTTCTCGCTTTGTTCATTCGTTGATTTATCAGGATTCATCGACCTATCCATCTGTCTCACTCATGCCGCCCGCCAAGAAACATCTATGCCAGCACCTGCGCTTGCCAAAGAAAGAGCACCACCACTCCTGGACCCACAGGCACCAATATCCAAGAAAGCTCTTGTCCACTGTCTCTTGCTTTGTTGGGCTCGCTGGCTGGGTTGGTAGGTGCGAAGCCTTTGAAGCAGTATCTTTTGAATTCTTTTGATACTGGACGATACTCGTGTCCCGAACTGTTGACGCTAAGTTGCTTGGCGTTGGGACTCTTTGCAGTGTGCCAACTCTCGCTCCCTCCCTCCCTCCCTCCCTCCCTATTTCCAACTGCGCCGAGATTCCATTCATCAAAGCAGTTCCCTTTGTTGGTCCAGACCATCAGCTCGACCACGGAATCCTGCAGGGCTGTGGCTTTGGAATATTGATCGTCAGAATATGTTTGGTCAGCCTGCACATCTCTCAAAGAATCTTTCTCCCTCTCTCTCCCTCCATCTACATCGCCATCAGGTCTCAAGAGTCTGAGTTGTGCCACTGAAGCTGAGAGATAATTGGGCCTTGGGATGTGCGAGGACCTCTTCGCCCCACTGAGAACCTTCCTGCAGCTGTTGGACACCTTGCGAGCTGCTCACCACAAATTATCAACAATACAAACTGGTAACAAAACTGCACAATAAGGGTTACCAAATTTACTTGTTGTTCAAGACACATACAGCCCGCTTCCATGGCTTTTGCTTGTGAAGAGGTCTTTTCTTGGCGTCATCGATAGCACCGCATAGGGCTGTCAGAACACTGTGCTCCGTGGCTGCCTCGCGCATGCTTTGCTCGCCAACAAAGGTGTGAGGATGGATTTGATATCATGTTCAACATGTCCCGACACCAATATCACAAATAAGACCAATCTTGCTCTCAATCGCCATCCCGGAGGGTCAGTGTGATAACTTTTTTTTTTTGCAGCGCCTTTCCCATGAAGCGGCCGGCAAACTTCCGGGAAACTGTGGCAACCTACACAAGGATGCACAGCTCAGACTTGCAACCTATGCAGTTTCCACTGCAGATCATGAAGGCGATACTCCTAAGCCACGCGCCGCTAGTCCTCCAGGTCTTGATTTGTCTTCAAAAATGAAGGAGACCATGCACCGGTAGTAGGCACCATGCCTTGGACGGACTGGGAGAAGCCTACCCATTCTTTCAAGTTGCATCTTTGAAAGTGCAATCAGCCAAGCGGAGTTTGGGTTCCAGAAAATCTGTGGACGTGAAAGGTACTGTAGGATTCGACTGCAGTCAAGTACAATGTGGATCGATTTGAGGAAATGTGTGTGTGTGTCTCTCTCTCTCTCTCTCTCTGTCTGTCTCTTTCTTTCTCCTCTATCTTCCCCCCATCTGACTTTCTGCCTCATGAAGAACGGCCAGCTCCAACTCACAAACATTGCGATCACTTTTTGTCTTTACTACTTCCCAACGGTTTTGGTGCTTTTGCTGTCAAATGCATTCATTCACTTTGAAGAACTGTCACAACTGCTCTGTTGGATTCGGCAAGGGGCGCACGCCAAAGAGCTGCCAAACAACATCGGGCAACACGCGAGTGCGAAGGTGACCAAGTGCTGATCTTCATATCCTTCAGCTCCAATGGGACCTCAAATTCAAAGCAACCCTTGAATTCTGAATCTGTCGTTCACGTTGGTTCCAGACATATGCTGTGTTGCTGTATGCAAGTGAATTAAGGAGTCTTCGCCAGAATTGCGACAGTATACTTAGCAACAACATAACTTAAACATATTTTGATAACATGTTGATAAAATAAGTTATATAGACAGATTAATTACATCAACATATATATATATATAGATGGCCAAATGTGAGCTACTCCCATTTTTTCCAAGTAGCATGCACAATAAAGTGGAGGTGCGGCCCTATGCCTGGTTCAAATCTGTCAATTCTCTTGGGAGATGGCCAGGAGAAGCTGTCCTGCAGGATGCAAGCAGTCAAAACACTTGGCTTGGCTTCCAAGGACTACAAGGACAGAATGTTGGAAACAGGGGTTGAAATTGAACTTGAGAAGGGGTGACACGAAAGGTAGTTGTGTCACAGGGGACGCGGGGGATCACTCAGTGCGAAAGCCGACATGCGACCGGGCATGACCGGGCCCTTTTCTGCTGACACCAAGCCTTAGGCTTGTCAATATGGACGTCATGCGCTAGCAAATCACCGCTTTGACAGGACGAAGGGAAAATTTCTGTCCAGCCGAAGCATGGAGAAGCGCCGACGTTCCTTTGCTTCACCCGTTTGCTTGCAAAAGTGAAAGTGACGTGGCAAATGGATGTCGAAAAATCCGAATCGCAAGTCGAATGATGATGATGATGATGAGGATGATGACGATGATGCTGATGATGAGACACTGCGAAGGGGCTGCTGCGTGAAGAGACGCACAAGGCATGTGACGAGAGTTCACTTGGGGGGGGGAGCATGGAACTGGACATTCAGAGCAGGGCGGAGATATCTGGATCCGAAAAGAGAGCACCCCACGATGTCCATGGTTGCTCATCACTTAGTCCATTTAAATAGCCATTTGGAGGTATACATTGTCAGACACACGCATCGTGCGGGGAAGAAAAAAACACGATCAGTGTTAGCACAAACTCCAATGTCTCTTTTTGCGGTACCTATGGATGCTCGAACCACCTCGAACCTGTCACTTTCATCGCACCGTTGGGTACTTGGAAAATGGATGTCGAAAAATCCGAATTTCAAGTCGAATGATGATGGTGATGAGGAGGATGATGATGATGATGATGATGTTAATGATGATGATGGTGATGATGACGAGACACTGCGAAGGGGCTGCTGCGTGAAGAGACTCACCAGGCATATGGCGAGAGTTCCCTTTGAGGGGGGGAGGGGGGAGGGGGGGGGTCTCTTTCTCCTGGTTGTTCAGGGATAAGGGGTCCAGCCCGCCCCTTTGCTTCGCAAAGTAAAACTCAAGGTAGCCCGCTAGGAGGCTACCTTTCGTGATCAGAACCTGCAGTGTCCTGCGTAAGGCCGCATTGTTGAGAGCACCATGTAGCAGTTCCCCTCTCTTGGCAAAGGAGCCCGCCAAGAATTGGCAGGAGCTTATGGCATGCATGCAACAACTTCAGGCGACTGACAATCTTGGAGGTAAATTCGCTGATCGAGCCTTGGTCTTCCCAATTCCACAAGAGTTACTGACAAATTTGGTGCATAGCACCAAGTCCGAATGTATCCAAAGCCCAGAATGCACCAACTCACCAGTCAACTGCATCCAACCGGCCTTGCAACTCCACCACCTCTTGCAATGCGGTGTGTCACTTTACTATCAGATACTACAAGCAACATCAAGCAACCCAGGCTGAAACGAAGGAGTTGCCAGTTTGCTTTTTCAGCTGCCCATGCGATGGCTGTCTCTTGGACCGAAGTGACCTTAATGCAATGCAACGTCATGAAAGCGTTTTTGGACAACGTCTGCGTCACAACTAAATGGGATACAGAAACCACCATGAATCATAACCCATAGTACCAATAATAACGACATATAATCACCTGATTCACCTGCCCCTTTAATCCAATTTTCCCATCATTTTCCTGTAGATCCTGCCCACCTTTCTCTGCCAGCGAAAGATCTGGGGGCAAAGCTGCGCGGGGGCAACCTGCGATTCTTTGCAGGTGGCTTTGTGCGGCATGAGAGCATGCGGGACGATGACTACTTGCCCGACTTGTACCCGCAAAAAATCAAAAACTAGAGTTGCAAAATGCAGAAGTCCATTCAGGTGCATTGAGAAAATGCAATTTGATAAATTAGCATGTTTCATCATAAATGTATTCTTCCCCCTCTTCCTCTTTCGCTGTCCTGTAGACTGACAATACCAACGTAACACGAATCTATGTCAATAATGTGAGCTTTATGATTCTTGTTCGCTTGTTACAGTATGATCCGCTTTGCGCATACGGTATGACGATATGCATTCACTTGTTCGACGTTAGCCGCTCCACGCCAAAATTTAAAATGACTAAAAACAATTAAAAACACGTACAAAGACCATCCGCAATGAAATACAAAATCTTTGCCAGAGCATTCAGCAAACAAGAGACCCAGAAAGAACACCACACGACGGGCTGGCAATGTTCTGGCATCCGGCAACAGTTTGGACACGAAGCGCCCACCAATTGGGACCGAGGGGTAAGCTTCCTCACACTCCCGAGAAAGGGGAGCGAAGATGAGCCAAGTGCAGTTCAACAATGTTAGAGAATCTTATGCATTTTCTACAGAGCACCAATGGGGCCATGCAAAAGAGAAATAGTGGCCTGCAGGAATCAACCCAAACTCTGGATGTGAACAAACTCCTCCCCAATTCTCCAAGAGTCGTCGAGAAGCACCACAGCTGAGTCCTGCCATTTTGGCAACCGACGATGCAAAACACATCAAACGATCAAGATCAAAGACGTAAATTTGGATTTTCAAATTCTTTAACAAGGTGTGAGCTCTCCTTCCACTGTGGTTTAGAGGTTGAGCGCGACAAGGAGTGCATCATAACATGTATGTAGTCTTATGTCCTGAGGATCCGAACTGCCCAGAACTACCCCGACAGGCAAGGCCCCCAAGAGCCAGGCGATTCCTACAGACCTCTGAAGCATGATCAAACCTTTAGTCCGTTTATATCCCCGTTGGACAGTAGTCGTGGGGGTCTGACCCCCAAAAAAGCTAACAGCCACCAGGATATAGTTTTAGGATTTTTAGGGTGTTAAACCCACTAGGGTGCACATGTCAATGGATAAATCTAGGGGGTCTGAGGTTGGCATTCGGATGTTTTGATTTAAAGATTTACCCTTCATGCATGGTGCCGCAAACACGCTCGTGGTGGCCCGAAGCACGCCTAAGATTAGGGCCCCTTGGATTTGGGGTTGCCATTGATCTTGGATAAAATCCAGCCATCCTCTTTGATGAAATCCAAGGGCCTGACCCCATTTTAGCTGGCTTTATTATTATTATAATTATAATTATAATTATTATTATTATATATATATATTTATATATATATATATATCGAATCTATCCAACTTGCAGGTGGCTACAGCCCATGGATTTGAGCCAGGACCGCCACTCTTTATCCTGGGGTAAACTTTTCGGGTGCGCCTGGAATCCCAATGGTTTTATTCCTTCCCACCCTGTTGACTCGCACCTCAGGATGGCCCAATTTCCGAAGGAATGAATATATTCCATTCCGCAACCCTTTTGGTCCTGCGTGAATGGGTTACGCGATGAGCAAAACCCATTTGAAACCTTTGGGTCCGAGCCATGGGGCCATAAGGTGCAAAACCAAAACAGCCTGAGGCAAAACTATCGGAACAGAACTTAAAGTTGCGACAGCAAACTTCCTTGATAATCGGACAGCATGCACCATAACAACACAAACAGGACTGCTTTGTGACTGTTTGCGCGCTCAGATTTCGTGGCAAATATTCAAATCCTTTCCGAACTTTTCGATGGAAAGGGTCTCTAGGCTGTCGACTACGAAACCAGCCGAGAGAATGCCTGTGGAGGCTAGGGCGTATCTAGATGAATAGAATATATACAATCTAGTATAATTGTCATAATTGATTATTCACGTATTTTGTAAATAGAATGCACCTGCTAAACCTGAAACCTAAGAATTCAACTCAATAACTAGGTGCTTTATGGTATTTTCAATGTATTTTCCCTTTTGCCCTAGAAATTCTTAGGGCACCGTAAGAATATGCGTTCAAAACCGTTGACCGAGTTGAAGTCCGTTCAGATGCGTTCGAACCCATTCAAACCCCCATCCTAGAAAGGTAAAACAAATTAGCCTAGCAGTACCCGTTCAAACCCGTACCAGTTCAAATGAGTTCGATTCAACCCCCGTGCAAAATGAGTTTAGAATGAGTTCGCTGCCCGTTCGCGAATGCAAACAAATGTTGCCTTTTGTTTCTTTCATAGTTGCTCTAAGAATAAGTGTTCGGACCTGACTTCTTGCGTTTGTATTAGAAATCGTTAGAAATTAGGCGAAATGCACTCGAATATTATTTCAATTGCACTAAGAACTTCTGGATTAATGTTTACCCGGCAATATCTGTGCATATATATTACTTTCAGTGCTTTATGGCCAAGGCCCCCATCCCTGCCGCAGAGCTTCCGGAAGATCAGTTGAGAAATTGTGAGGCAACAAAGGAATGATCACTCAATATCACTCATAGATTACACGCAGATAAGTTACAGTAAGATAAGGGATGACATTTCAGGTGGCAATTCTTGAAAGAAACTTTGAGTGCTGAGAGTGGAAACAAATACGGAAACCAATCCATATATAATATACAGAATTAGCACTAATCTTAAATATGCTTTATTTACAGTGACCGTGCTTGACATGTGATTAGCTGCCTTGCGCTATTTGCTTGGGGGCGTGCCGACTATGTTACGCAGTGCTGTTTCAAGCTATTTTTCACATTGCATGTCTCAAAGAGTGCCATGTGACGATGTGACCTGAGGCTTGCATAAGAGATGCAATGACATGCAATGATTGAAATGCAGCGTCATGCAGCATGCCCGCTTTATCTTCGATTGCGGCTGGCTTGGTATGAAGACACACCTTGCTTGGACCAACTGTCGCAAAACTGAAATATGGTTGGACACCTTCATGGTTGCCACAACCACGCCAGGTCCTGATTTGATAGCCACAATATGTCATGTGGGCTACCTTGAAGATCTTCAAGTAAATTTCCGAATGTCACCTGAATGATCCTGAATGGCCTCCAGAAGTTTTTGTTTGGCGTGGTTGTTTAGATTCTGGCGGGCAAGTCCTTTCTTTGTTTCCAATCCTTGCCGCACCACTGCGCTCTAGCCAAAGAAATCCGAACACATGTATGTACCCCAAAAGCAAGTATGACAGGTTCAGAAAAAAAATCAGTAATATGTGCACGTGCAGGCTGCCAGACTAACATTTGGTCATAAGTTTCTACGAGCAAGGGTGCGAAAACCAAAGCAACCAAACAAGCCCGTGGATATACCAAGGCAAATCCAAAGTCGCGCATCAATCGTATAGAGTTGAGATGAGTTGAGAATTTACCACTCCTTCAGCCTGGCAATGGAATTCAACTCCGGGCAGGACTTCTTGGTCCTGCGTGTCATCCATTCTGCAAAGTACGACCAGGACAGCCCAGGTGATCCAGTCCAAGGTGCAGAAATCTAAACACCGTCTTTCTATGATATTTTCATATATTTTCTATGTCTTTCTCTAGTCACTCGTCAGGAGATGTTAGCTTGAAAGCGGCTGTGACTACCTTTAAGGTCTTCCAGAAAAGGTCCATGGGACAATTTTTTGACAATTATGTTGATGGTTGTTGATGTCTTTTTTGGGCATTGTATGCATCAGGGCGTCAATGATCGATTTGTCATCCACGCGCTGTCCGCAACTTGCCGCAATCGCCGAAGTATCCCGAACTCTGTCTCTTCCTAGGCTTCGGACGAGCCCAACATGCAGCCTGACTCCACGAGTGCAGCACTTGAGGAACTGGATCTAGACCATGGCATAATGCATCACAATGTTCATAGGGTATGATTCCAGCATTTATTTGACGTCGTTATATTATGTTATATTGCTGCTCATGCGCCATTTGGATGCTATCCGTGTTCTGCATTGTTCGCAGCCAAATGTCCAAATCCTTCAGGAATTCGGGGCCAAGCACCCACCAGGACAAATCCTTGAAGCGCTTGCCAGCTTCAAATAAAATCGCAGCTGCTGTCCGGGGCGCCTGATGTGGGTTAGGTGCTTTCACGATTGATACCCTTGGGTCATCGTGGAAGATTTGCACGCACTGTACTGTACAAGAGGCTGGCACAAAAAATGAAAAAAACACGAGATTGTCACTCTTGGATTAATCCCCTGAATAGACGAACCAAGGCGCAGAATTGGCAGCGGTGGGTTGCAGAGCAGCCAGTAGTGAACGTGCAAGACAATCTCTGCGGTTGCCAAACGATGATGCAGCAGCTTTCCTGGTTTTCCTCAGCATGCTTCAGAAACTTTGATGCCCTTTTGGCAGCACAAGTTCAATGTGTACCTGGCATGCGACATAGTGTTGTAGCATTTGTACATTCAAGAAGCGTCCCCGAACGACCCTCTCCTTGCTTCTGAAACTCGGCCAGGAATGCCGGGAACTGCTCCCCACAGCTAGCAAACAAAAAAACACTTCCTGGCTTGGAAGAACGGTGCGAGTTTCCAGTCAAACATGGCGGCTCAGGGGAATGTGAACAATGCTGATGGGCCTGCACATGCCATGCAGATTGTGCACGTACATGCACTACATTTACATTTGCATTTACATCTACCAGTACATCTGCATCTACATTTCATTTATATTTATATACATTACATGCACAAAGGAAAGGCAAAATAATATGAATAACAAATAATGACTAATAAATAAATAAATGAATAAATAAATAAATACATGTGTATGATTATATAAACATATATGCACACACCCAGTACCTGTGTAAAACAAAAGAACCATTTTCAACAACCAAAACAAGTCGAAGCATGTCACAGCAAATCGGGTATCCTGTTGCCATAATTCAAGCGAGGCAAACACTTGCCACTGGAATCGGGTTCGCATCTTCACCAGGTCGTCCAACTGGAATCATGAAAACAAATGCCTGCAGGATCCTGCAGGTACATGGCCCTGTCCCTACAGAGTTACAGCCTCTACACATCCTGAGCTTGGAGTTCCAAAGCTTTTTTTTTTTTTTCAAATTTCCCCTGGGAAAGAAACATCTATTCCTATCAAAGACTTAACTCCGCCCTGGCGTATCTGGAATAATGAAGTCATATGCAAATTTAGTATATACTAGTATGTAATTATGTGATATGATATCATATATGTAAATTATGTAATTATAATATATATATATACACACATATATCTCTACATATATTTGTGGGAAAAATGAGACCATGCCTTGTGTGCCTGGTTCCAACTAACAACCGTCTCAAAGTTTCAGTTGGCCCATTTTGATCTCTTTCCCATTGAGAACAAGCGCTGTCTTGTTCTGAAATGGAAAGTCCAAGGTGCAGCTCTTAAGGCAGGGCCAGAAGAACTTGAAACGCATCTTGCAGTCGTGCGTCCAAGCACCTAAGCCGTTTCGCACGGGAAATAATGTAAAAAAGAATAAACGATAACAAAAGCCGTGCTTGATGTCAATGCGCAACAGATTGTGTAACCCATTCTTGACCTTTCATTCCCTCCTGCCGGTCTATGACGTCGTCCTGATCTAGGTGTGTTTTTGTGAATGGAGTCTGAATCCGCCAACAGTTCAAATGAAGGGCAAATATGGGTGCATTCCCAAGAAACCCTTACTGATAGAATACATATAGATTTAAATCGGGGCAGCATGTGTTGCATCAGCATAGCAAATAGAGAGATGATTTATGCTAATTTTTACTATTCACTTACTGCATCACATTCATATGTACTTTATGACAAATTCATATCAGCTACCGTAAATGATTCCAAGTGTTGAAACTTCTGTCCTTGGACTGTCTGTCTAGTATGCATATTATGCCGTTCACTGCCAAAGCACTTCTAGACTTGGTTGAGATCGGGTAGGTTGATGCCTGAAACCGGGCGCGAAAACACAAAACACACTATATAGTGGTAGTGGTGCTATTGGGGTTCTGTTCGAGCAATTGAGCAATTCACAGATTGAAGCGGCAGGGGAAATTCAAGCATGCCATAAGCAGCTTCAACGAGCCGATGGCATGGAAAGCAGCAACAACATCGCAACATTGCTGGAGACAAACGACGTGGTGGCTTCGACTACTTGTTTGTCCAGCCGTGGTTGGCCAAAGAATGGAATCTCGACAACTGTCAATTTGTGTCCAGGATCTCTCTCTATCATTCTCTAGTTAAATACTAAATATAACTGACACATAGTCTATAGTATTATTTTAGCGAGATGGATAGGACTTGGACAGAACCCCCTCCAACCCTCCTCTTGCTTTCTGTGCTTGAGCAGTTTCAAATCAGAAAATCACAATTTTTGCTGCCATGGCAATGTCGTCTTCCTAGATCAGGCTGCTGCAATACCAAAAGCGTTCCCCTAAGATCCCCTAAGGATGCCAATTCCTCAGAGCGGCGTCAAAGCACAAAACAGTACTGGTTACCGGTTGAATCTCATAGGTTTCTGGCAAGCCATTGCGACCAGTGTCACATCGACGAATCAGCTCTTCTTGCTCCCAGTCTGCCTGCTCACTTGGAGCTCCGACCATGAAACACCAATGTCGTAATGTCGTAATATCTCCCAACAATGGACTTGAACATGCTTGAAACATGCCACCGAATCATCTACCGAAACAATCTGAAACGAGTCCGATAACATCATTACAAGAATATTCCAGTTATGGACCAGTATGGACTAAGAATGAGTACAGTAGTAGGATGAACAGTGACTATTGTGGGTTTTCGACCCCGCCCTCCTGCACCAGCCAAAAAAATGTGCATCTGTGTCCAAGTTGCCAAATCCATGCCAGCTGCTGACATGAGCTGCCGCAACCTTCGTATCTTTTGCCATGCTGGCAAAACTTTTGGGATGACTCCGGGGACAGTGTGAGAAGAGTTTCAAATTCCCAAACTGCTAATATCTGCTAATACAAGTCCTGTCAATGCTTCGCATATCCAAGCATTCAAGGCTGCATAGACTTGCCATGACCTGCCTATATCTTTCACCAAGAATTCTCAGGATTTAAGCGCCCTGCCCACTACGGTCCAGAAAGCCGATCCGAGCTATGTCCATCCTCCAGAAATAAAAGCGATAAAGCATCGTAAAGCAACATTGAGGGTTGAAATGCTGCGCTTCTGCTATTGAGATTGGGCTTTTGGATGACTTGAAGCCTATGAATCATTCCGAGCACTGCACATCTGGCATGCTTGTAGCAAAGTCACCTCAGCTTCAGCTATGGTGGTGAAAAAAAAACAATCAGCAACATGATGCTTCCAAAAAGTGGAGCTCTCACTTGAGCACATGCCCGTGAGGTAAATGCAAGCAAAAACGATTGTCAAAAAGCATCCTTTCAAGTGTGAGACATGACTCAAAGAAACCTCACCAGTGGCAAAGTAAGCCATTTGGCACATCACGCTACTCAATCTCCATGTATCGTGCTTGTCCTTTGCAAACAGCAAAAGATTCATCTACGAGAGGCAGACCAGTCTAGATACCATTAAATCCATTAGCAGCATTAGCACATCCTCAGGACAAATTCAGTGTGGCCATAGGGGCAGCACATCTGACATCATCTGATCATCTGACTAGTCGTGAGGTCGCTTCCGATCTGGCATCAGCGGCATCAACTTTAAGAGATGCGCAAAGGCCATCGCAATGCTCTTGTAGTCAGTAGGCTTATCCAAACAGCGAATTTGGGAGTCGATCTCTTCCACGCTTGGCTCTCTGAGAGAGCTTGTTTGACTACTTCCACACTTGTCATTCTCCAAAATAGACTTCAACGTCTGCAAACCTGTCTTGGTTGAAAACTCTGGATGTGCCTGTGTGCTCAAACAGTTTTTCATGCTCATTCCCCAATGTCCGCTGTGGCAATATCCCCAGGAAGTGGCTTCTTTCGGGAGCAGAGCAACTGCATCTGCATGGTGGCTGAAAATGTTGAGACTTTCCTGTGCCAAGTTCAAGACTGTTTTGGCATTGTCAGACATGGGGTATCTCTGAAGTCCTGATTGGGTCCCTGCAGGATTAATGATCACAGTGCCACCCAGTGCCCGGCAAATTGCTTGATGTCCGAAGCACACTCCCACCAAAGGCCTTTCCTCCCGGACTAGCTTTTGCAAAAAACCCAAAAGCTTGGGAAGCCACGAGTCATTCTTGGAACCACTCGCGCACGAAGATACACTTCCCATTAGTATGAAACCGTCAAAGTCGTTGCAGTTTGGGAAAGCGTCATTAGCCACGTTGCACACTTGCAGCTCGAACGTGTTCGCCCCAACATCCTCAAACATCTCCATCAACATTTGTATCACTGTGGCTCCGTACACCTGATCATAGGCCACGTTCAAGTAACAAATTGAACGTTTGGGTCGAATCACTGGGCCCACTGTGTGAGGCTGGACCTGTTCCAATAGTTCGGCTTGAAGGTCTTTTGTTGACATAACCCTGGCAAATCCCTTCATATTATGCAGTCCCGAAGCATGTTCTTCGGCAGACTTGGCCGCACACGCATCATCCACAACTGTGACCAAGAATCCAAGATCGGCTGCATCTCTCACAGCTGACTCAACACATTGATTTGTCAATTGGCCGCACACAAGGAGATACCGCACACCGAGGTTTCGCAAAACATATGCAATGTTGGTGGAACAAAATACGGAGCAGGAGGTTTTCGGTAAAATTATGTCGTCAGCGTCAGGCATGATTTCTTGCAGAACGGCAGCACTGGAATGGCCTTTAGGGACAAAGAGTGGGCCACTGAGTTTGTAATCGAGAGACTGATCCCGGCCATCAAAAGTAAGAGCCTCAATGACTGTGTAAATGACCTCTGTACATGCTTGACGAGCAGCTTTCAACAGAATAGCAATATTGGGAACCATGGTCTGGTCAACTCTGTCAAAGAAATATGGTAACTCTGATCTTGAAGTGCCAGCAAAGACTCCCTGTCCCGCTCGGCTGCAATACTCCTGCACGTCGATCACTAGCACAGCTGTCTCAGAAGCTTTACAGGGAATCTGCCTGGTACATCCTGGGGAGACTTTGCTCGGATGCCCATACGGATATGCCATTGCAGCCAAGTAGATCCAAATAGCAGCGCGTGCTGCTGTGTAGCGGCTTTGATTGCTTGAGAAAGCTTGGAGTCAAGCTACAGGTGTCTTGCTGTCATATTTGTGAATCAACAAATTTCGCATGTGCATGACGACTGATTGCTGATTGGCATGGTTACAAAGCTTTTTGCGACAATGCCCTAGTGTGATGCTATGAGCCAAGCTGGACATGATTGGAGTTGCCCCCCTGGTGCCTTGTACATGTCCTTTGAAAATAGAGCCGTCCATCCCTTAGTGCCTTCCCCGTCTCTCTAGAGTCTCTAGAGCAGTGTAGTGTGCCAGCTGGCGCTTCTAAGTCCTTTGCGCCACGATTTCGAAAGCTGCGCTCCATCTGTGCAACGCGCGCCTTGTAAAAATGGGTGTGATGAAACATGATGGAACAACAGGAGACCTGTTACAAGGATAATGTCTTCAAGTCTGCGCCGTACCTTTCACATCTTTCACGAATTAGACAAATCATGACAAATCCTTTTAGTGGCCTCCAGAATCACGTCTCGCTCCGCCACAGAGGGGGGCAACTGCGGTCTGTTGGCAGTTGTCATGCCCTGCAACGGCGCATCTTGTGCGATCTACAGCAAGGTCACTACAATTCCGACAGTTCGCACTGGATGATCTTTTTGTGTAATTATCCTCCCGCATGCACACATTCGCCGTAAACATCACGACAAGGGAAGGACCCACCGCTGCACAACTGTGTTTTCTTTGACAAAATCAAACTTTATCGATTTCCGTGGGCTTGCCTCAAGCTGTGCTTGACGTAGAAGGGCCACAAACTCATTCAAATCCACACGTCCATTGCCTTGGATACAAACATGAGTTCGCTCACTGTGTCATACATTCCTCGGAGATTCTATTAGATCTTTGACGTTCTGAGAGTCTGAGAGGAAACAATTTTGGTGACACCGTGGCATGCTAATGTTCCCCTAAAATATCAGATTTTATTGGGCTACGCCCTGGAACCACCTATTGTACAATCCCTTCCCCCCAACATTAAGATTTTAAACACATGCCCAGAAGCAATGGTTTAGTATCGGATTTTTTCATTTTGGGCCCCTGATTTGGGTATGTATATGATTGTATATGTATTACATTGTACTACTAGATCTACTAGGGGGATGGGGTTAGATTAGCTAACACAAAGTATCAAGTCTATTTCACTGGTTGGTTTCTCCTATACTCGTACAACCCGTAATACGCAGATTGCCAATCTGCTGGTTGCACCCCTGAAAAAAAATCAGCCACTCACCCCCCCCACAGTTTCGCCATTTCGGCTGGATGTTTGACTCTGGGCGCTGGCAACCCTTTCACAGTGTGCACCTTTCAAAATGGTTCGAGCATCACATTTTTCGCTGGATATTCACGTCCTGGTTTCTTGTGGCCCAGCTGTTCTTTTTGTTGCGCAGACTAATCCCAATTTTCTGCAATTCAAGGGGCTGTAACAAACAGATTCTGAATCTGCTCATTACAAGCTGGATAGTGAAGGCCAAGAACAACGCATAGGTTTCAGACATTTGTGGGTTTCTGGCACTCGCGGTCGCTGTTTTTCCTTCAAGTTCCTTCAAAAAGTACTTTGAGTGGCAACCAGCCAAGAAAACAACAAATTTTCACACGTGTGTAGGTTTCAGCCATTTGGAAGAGGCAAGCATATTCTTTTTCTTACATAGACTCGGGACGATCACGGACGCATGGTAAGAAAAAAAACATCTGCCTTTTGGGATTGACCTGTAAGAAGCAGATTCACAACTCCACCACTTTTCCCCATGAAACTACAAAATCCTGGAATCTGCTTATTACAGGGTCACTTTTGGGGCAAGTCATTTTTGGTAGGGTCTTACTTGAGGAAAATCCCTGATTTTGAGGTGTCATAAGCAGATTGAAATCTTCTTATAAGACGTCCCCATCTATAATATCTTATAAACGTCTTATAATTCGATGCATTCTAAGGCATTCTATTCAAGGAAAGAAACACCAAATACAATAAACGGCAGGCACACACACACACACACCCAACAGGCTTAAGCTTAGACATCGCCACGGGCATTCGGTGGAATACAACATATGATGGTGTGATATGGTGTGATATGGTACATGTATGATTGTATCATGATGTATGATGTATGATGTATGATGTGTATATAAAATTATGCAAAACATTGCAAAACTGTGGTTGAGATGAGGCTTGACCCGTGCGAATGCTTTGCTCAAGGGACTCAAGGCGTGTGGAACACAATGCTAAGGCTACGATTCATAGGAGCTGGTCAACCCGTGTGGCGTTCCAGGGTAAGTGGGCTTTGAAAAATAATGTAAGATACGTGCCGTGTAAATCCGTGTAATATAATCTTGCCGCTGACAGGATTTCCTAGTCGTACCGCAGTGAACTCAAGATTTGTTCTCCACTCCAGTGTGAATGCATCTAACGTCATGTGTAGACTCATTTTGAGGATCTGGCAATTTGTTTACATAAAGACACCTGGTATCTAGAAAGCTTCTTGGACTTGACGCATCAAACCACAAATGGCTTTGTGCTTCTCGCAAAAAAAGTCCCTGGTGCGGCGCGGGTTCATTACACGAAACTGCAAGAGGCACAACTCCGCCTTCAGTGGTGTTTAGAGTGTGAGAGTGTGTCGAGTCGTTTAGTTGTTCTTTTATATTCTTTTGATTTCTTTTGATTTCTTTTCATCTTTTTCTGACTGAATCTGAAAGATCTTTGATAGTCTGTGGATCTTGCCGTCTGCGTCGGCCAAACGCCACAAAGCGCCCACATCCTCGCGAGTCATCTGGGCATCCTGCGAGAAACAAAGATCCGCCACATTTTCACATTTATATTGCCAATATTGCACCAAATCCCCTTTTGCCGCCACATGCAACTGCAACTCAAAACAGTGCCTTGAAATTGAAGACTATTTCATCTTATTTCTATGTACCCTGTGACTGAGAAAACCACCCAAAAACTCTGTTTCATTCCTTTTCTTAGGATCCAAGAGATTTGTGCCTGATTCAAAACCATGCGCTCGAATTCTGCATAGGAGAGCATGCCAGAACCTGTGAGGTTGAACCTGTCGAAACTGATGAAACAAGCGCAACTTGACTGCTCACAATCTTGATGCATCATAAAACACATTGCGAGACAACGCGACACGGCTTCTGATCTGAAGGCCTTTGGAAAAAGTTGGCAGGGCTGCTCATTGCTGGAGCCAAACGTCTGGCCTACAAGAAACTGAAAGAGAAGTGGCCGGCAACAAATCTGATTGAACGAGTGGCAATGTGAGAGTGAGGTTTCTGCAGAAGCTAGAGCACCACCTTACAAGCAAAGGTGGCAAAGCTGCCCGCCACCATTTGAGAACATACTGAGATATACTGAGCTAGCCGCAATTCGTCGGAGACAGGATTCACCCCAAGGATCAGTATCTGACCTCAGAGCCAAACCTAAAGCTGCAGAGAATCAGACCTAGTTGAACTGATGTGAATATCGTGAATTAATCGCACTTTATCATGAACCCTTTCTCAACATTTATTTGACTCAAGATCTGGGAACATCTGGGAGTCTAATGCTATTAAATTATGCTGCATTCCAAGTCATTCCATCGAGGACGCGGCGCATGACATGGCCTGAGGGCCTGGCGTTCCTTGGAAAAGCAGGAGCTGTTGGATGCTCAGCTCTGGAGACGAAGCTATCAGCCTCTCCGATCCGATCCGATAATTCCCATAGGTCCATAGGTCGGATGATGTCGAATGCAACCATGACAACATCGTGACAACCATATGGCAGCCATGGGGCAACCATGGGGCATGATGGACTTGGCAATTTTTGATCCCCCACCACTCCCTTCAAGCCCCCTCTGCCGCGAAGCAATCAGCTTTGCCAAAAAGATGTCTGGAGATTTCAACTTTGCATTGATCTGCATCTAACACAACTACAGTAAGTGATACAAACGAATCTAGACATGCCGACACGGAGCATGACTGAGTTCCTGTCCAGCTCTCACAGAAAGTTGATTTGAAGAAGCCTTTGAACCGTTTTGTCCCTTCCCTCGCGCCCCCAAAGACGATCCAAATCAGCAGTACCCAATCGGGGTTCCAAAGCCAAAGCCTCGGAACAGGACCAGATTGGTGGAGAATTCGAGGTGCTTCAACTGCTTCAACTGTTTAGATCTGTTTAGATCTGTTCAGATCTGTTTAGGATTGTCTTGGAGAGTTCGGAAGGTCTTTGTTCTCACAATGGAGGCGCCCATACCCAAACATCAACTTCCATCTGTGCCTCTTATCTGCACTGTGCAATTGATTCGTGTGCTGAAACAATGCATCCCAGTTCGGAGTCAGAACCCGCTTTTGTTCTTCTTTGGCGAAGGCGGTTTGAACGTGATTGAAACATTGCGGCCCTGAAGAATTCAGAAAGCATTTGGGCATGAAGTCTCTCTCTCTCTCTCTCTTTCTCTCTCTCCCTCTCGCTCATTTGTCTACTGTGGATTAATTTGGACAAGGATCACACACACACACATAAAAGAACTAAACAACTCAAGTGCACGCGCTTGGTGGTCAAAGCCTCGAACAAAATTATTTGCGTGTATATCATAGACCTTCAAGACGTTTTGAGTGAGCAATTTTCAGCGAGAAGGAGGAAGGCCGCAAATTCTTTAATTCAGGATAATTCAGGTCCGTTTTTGGGAACACTTCCAGCACAGTGCCTTGACTGACAAGGCAAGCACCTTCAAAATCCATTGCGACAAATCCTACAGTGAGAATTCAGCTTTGCTGAAAAGGCAGGCTATACTATACCTATGCAATATGGTCCCTGACGCTGCTCGCTCATGCTGGCAAGGATCAGCCACCGTTCTGTGTGGGAAGAATCGTAAGACTCTACACTGGCGAGAAAACATGAGAACGTATCAGAACATATGAGAACAGTATGGATCCAAAGTTCCAAGCGTAGTTTCTTCAAAATGACGGCAGCATGGCGATCCATCCCTGTCAGCATATTTAACAAACTTCAACAAGGCCTCCGGCTGTAAGTCTGTGAGCCCGCGGAGTGCCAAGCTGGGGGGCCAGAAGAAACAAACATGAAGCCGCAATGAAGTCCTTGAGTCCTCTGAGTTGCACTACAAAGTTAGTCACCTGGTCCATCAGCTTGGCCTAGGCAGCTCGCATCTTTGAGCGAGTGAATTTTCCTTGCTACACCTTGCTACACCCCAACCTAAGCACTTGCATGCTTTACAGATCAATGCGAAAGAGCGCACAGCGTGCAAAATGGAGTGCGCAAGAGCGACCGCCCAACTCTCTCATGCTAATTTTGCATGTTCCGGTTGGGCAGGGTCGGGGACCGGCAATAACCTGCCACTGTCTCTAAAGAATAACTAGGATATAGGGCCTGGGCATGCCTGGGCAGTGTCAAACACAGCTAGAGATCAAACATCTGTTCAGATACAGTGGCTTCAGGCGTCCGCATCCAGCATCACCTTTGCGAAGCGGGTAACTCAACCATTTTTGTTTCAACACGTTCTTTTCACCGTCCTTCACCGTTGTTCATATATTTTCAGACATTGCAGTGTTGCACACAATGATTAAACGTGTGTCACACTCCTTCACTGGATTCGGAGCAAAAGAGCTGGCCCGGCACCTTTCGATACTGTTCCAATGACAGTAGCCAGCCGCGCGGCCAGCCCTAGATTTTTTTCATATTTTTTCTGTTTGCGGCCCAGTGTCAAAGGGGCTGGTGTGGGCCTTACTCCAAACTCATAGGATAAGTCTGCACTGATTCGCATCTCAAATTCCTCCACTGGAAGAAGAGCTCACTCTTTGTGTCAACTCTGAAGGATAACTTTCAGAGAATTTTGGATTCTACCTAGAATCTGGGATCCTTGAAACTTTGCTTCATTTGCATTGAATGGCATTGTGAAATGCCAGGCCCCTCAGCAACACTTGAATTCTCTATATAGACATTCCCTTGCAAGCGGACGCTTATATAAGTCATATCTTCCTGATACAACTGATGCAACCGAAATAGCGTGGAGCTGGGCACCCCCTGTGGCCTGGAAGCCACATTTGTTAGCCATACGGAATGGGGATGGCATAGGGAAGCAAACATTCTTTTTTGCGGGTGCAATAACAAATAGAATGGTGCAACGGCTACAGAGCCCACCCGGTTTGAAGAATCAACCCTGCAAACCAAGGTACAGAACAAATTTCAGAAAGATACAAACATATTATAGTCCCACAAACAATGAAGCATGGTAACCAAATGTAACCAACATCAAACGACCGAATGCACACGCATCTTCTGGCCTTGTGAAGTTCCGTATGCTGAAATGGGCCCGGGTCCTCCAAGATCGAAAGCAAAGAAAGGCCAGAAACTCCCACTGCCAACGGTGCAAAACCTTCTGGCAAATTGTGAAATGCCGTTTCATCATGTTTCATTTGCCATTTTTGTCGCTTACTACCATCTCTTCCTCTCTCTCTCCAAATCTCTTGTGTTTTTCGCGCACCATCTCTCTCTTATATTTATTCACATGTGCTCACGTAATTCCATCAAAACATGCAATGATAAATCCACATAGTAGGTATATACGATATAACTGTATATATATATAATTTCCTTCATCTGCACGCGAATAAAAACATACTTTCGCGAACCCCTACGTTTATCTTTCGCAGGGGTCTCACATTAAAATCTATCGCTATTTTTTTCGCGAAATCTTTCGCCCCCCCTTAAAAAAACTTTTGCGAACTCAGCAAAGAAACTTTCACGGGGTCTCATGTTGGAACCCTGGCGGCCTTTGTAATGGACAATCTCTACATGGACCTTTGCATCGACAATCATTGTCTGCGCCCTCCATGCATTATTCTATTTTATAGTGTCTGCCCGTGGTTCTTCCACCTTCCATCTTAAAGCCTCTTAAAGCCCATGTGTAGCTACAACATGCTACAACTCGTATGGTCAGGATCTGTGCCACTTTCACTGCGCTGTTGACGCTGCAACGCTGCCTGCAGCCTTTTCTGGCAGTCCACACTTTGACATCTTTGTTGTCGTTGGGTTCTCTCGCGTCCCTGCTGCATTGACCGAAACCTAACTCCAAACAGCTCCTTCGGTCCTTGAGCTACGTACCTCTATTGTCCTTTATCCTTTATATTCGTTCATTGTATATATAAACATATAACATCTTTATATATTACATTACATGGTTGTATAATGTTATATTTAATATCTAATAATATTATATAAATATATATATATATATTATAATATCCTTTCTTTGCTCCTTTCAATTTCCTGTCCCGTGCCAGGTGGCATCCGCAGTTGGATTGGCTATTCTCGGCTCCTTTCCAGCTTGCACCTCATTCATGTTCTCTTGCCAACACCGAACAAAAGTCTGCGCTTGACCCAAATACCTTTCCCAAACAAAGCCATTGGGAGCTTTGACTGTCTTTGACTTCAGCAAGCCTTGTTGCCAATTTCAACAGCCACTTGATGCGATTTGAATTCAGCAAAAATCCTTGGGCAGTCGCATTGGCTTCCCACCATTCGGAACCAACTATGAATTCTTATCATTATACTCATCTTTCTCATCCCTGCTTTTGTAGGCGACAGGACCTCGCAATCTAGCTAGAAACACCTCCCCCTCTCTGCATCGGCAGGCAAATGCGCTGAACATTGAGTCAGCAGCAATTCGGTATGCCGCATGCCTATGGCCTAGGCCTATGTATGCCTGGCATGGATGCACACTTCTTTATTCGACTGACATGGAACAACCACAGTAAATGCTCTTTACACCCAACCGTACATGTTCGTACATCTTATTCGCATTAGGTAGCGGCAGGCCCGTCCTCACTCCACAGCAGGAGAAACGCCTCTACGCTGTGCGTGATAAATCCTGGCAGTAGTGCAACTGAGTACAGCTGTCAAGCAATATCTGCAATAACTGCATAAGAAAAGAACATTGTGCTCCTGACAATGCATACTGAACCAAACTTTTGGTAACAACCCTCTCGTGACTCTCGCGTGAGCTGCAAAGGAAAGGAGAGCAAGCGCCTTCGTTTTCTGAAAACAATCATATTGTCTGCAGACAAGGTTCCCATGGAAGCTCTGCCAAACACGAAAGAAGAAACGAACCCGATGATGCCGCACCAAGATATGGAGCCTGACAATTTTTTGGCGAGACCAGATTCTAGTTGGAATCCATATGACTTCTGACATCTTTACGTCCTGTGTGGTGGTCTTCATAGGTCGTCTTCCTACAATGGGGTGAGCCGCATATTGACTTTGGGGTGCTTTAAAAGGCGAGGCTGGAACTTTCACCAGATCAGAAACAGGCAATACAGTGTCATAGGCTGCGTGCTTGCTTCGAGTGGCGCAGTGTTCTTGAGCAGTGGCTGACCCGGGAGGCGTAACTTCAAAAAAGGAGGCTTCAAACAACTACCAGCTACAATAACCAACCCAGCCTAACTATTCCAAATGCGGTGCTGCGTGTAGATGTTAAAAGCCTCCTTCGATTGGGTTTCAGTGTCAGGAACTCCGGGGCCTCTGAGTTTCGAAGTTGACACAAAGGCCAAACATATCAAAATTGCAAATCTTTTCAAACTTTGAAATGACTTGGAATATCTTGGAATCCTCCGATTTTCACACCCGCTTTCTCAATCTTTCTCCATCGTACGGGAGAGATCAGGAGAGGCAGCCTGCGAACCTCAACCAAAATGACCATATTGGAGACCCCCCTACGTATCAAAATATGAGGACCGTAGAGACAATCATCACTCAAACAGTGAAACATTGGATATCGATATTAAAACGATATCCATACAATATCATACAATCATATACGTGCGAGTGTTTATAGATGTTTATAGATATGGCAGTGTGTCAAAACCTTGTACCCCTGGTGAACATCAAAATAGCTGGTAAATGGATGTTCATCCCCCTAAAAAAGGTATTAATAGGTATTGATCCATACCCATATCTATGTCAAATATCTTGAATCCATGCCACCCCCGCTTTTGGGCCCGAAGTGGTGGATGAAAACAAAATTAGCAATGCCGCAGTGCCTAAGTCGCTAGTATGGTAAACTAGTCAGCCGTTCAGATCCAACAGTCATCCCATTCCACCACGCCTTGTTCCAGTTCAAAGAACAGGGCAGTGCCAACGCTGGCAGCGCACCCAAGCAATCCGCAAAGCAAAGACCCAAAGAAATCGATGGACTTTAGCATGATATCCTTCCAGATCTGTCCAGAACACACAGCACAACCACACTCTTCCCTATTGTGTTGATCCAAGTTTACCTACTTACAGACCCCACCCCACACAATGTCCCAGGTGGGGATGAGCAAGTGGGAGTTTCCAAATGTTTACCTTCTTTTTCTCGCCCTTTAGACTTTCAGCTAATTATATAATATTTGGAACTGTTTGGAGCTGTAAGTCATCCAGAGGCCTGTCAGCCAAATGGGCGACAAGTCGCCATGGATTCTTCCTTGCAAGGCCTCATCGCGTCTATATTACTTCGCAATCATATGCAATCATTTACATTTGTGTGTGTCCGTGTGCGTGTGTGCATGTGTGCATGTGTGCATGTGTGTGTGTGCGTGTGCGCGTGTCCTCGAGCAAAACCTCTGCATTTGCGCAAGTAAGGAAACCTCACCAAAAGAATCCAAAAGAGCTGTGCAGCACCCGTCCACATGTCAGTCCATTTCTTTGATTTGAGATACTGTTTCGGCTCTTGGAGTGGGGACAATGGTTCTATCACTGAAACCATTAGCTGTACCAACCTGTGCCAGCAACCTGCTCCAGTTTTGATGTCTCGAAATTGTTTAGCCTGCGCCTGCGCTTTCTGAATTTTGATTGTTGCAAAAAACAGAAAACGAGTCAAGCCACACTTTGCCAAACGTGCCCCTTCGATGTGGTTCACGTCCCGCATTGCAGAAACAGCAATCGCCCAAGCACCTCAGCGCACATTCGCGGATGATTGCTTGGGCGTCCCCTGGTGGCTACTTTCGTTGCGAGGCGGAAACCTACACATGCATCACATGCGACACTTTGCATACGAGATGCAAACCGAAATTAGGTAATCTTTCAGTAGGTAACCTTTCTCACCGCCACTTGAAAGCAAAACATAATACATACATGCAAAATGTGTGCAGCAAATGCTTTCGCGCGGTGCTGAGCGCTGACCGCAAAATAAACCGCAGAGAATCACTTAAAACACATAGTCCACAGTCAAGCCATCGAGAATCTCAGAAACTATATGATACCGACTTACGCCTGTGGCAGGCGCGAGAAAACGACAGCTTGAAGCAAAGACCCAAGTTTTCCGCAACAATGAACTGAATACCCGAACTGCTGCCCGTAAACCGCGTGCCACTTGATCATGGCAGTTGGGCAGTTGATTCTCCACCATAGAACGTGGGAAGGAGAACACGGAAGGTGGACTTGTGACGCTTACAGAAAGGCCACGTGTGCAGGACAGCATGGGCACTTCCGTTCTTTGCGCCATGATCATCCCCGTCCTTCTCCTCCTGCTTGTCTTCTTCTTCTTCTTCATCATCAACATCACCAACATTACCATCATCATCATCATCATCATCATCATCATCACCGCCATCATCATCATCATCATCACCGCCATCATCATCATCATCATCGTCATCACCAACATTACCATCATCATCATCATCATCACCATCATCATCATCACCGCCATCACCATCATCATCACCAACATTACCATCATCACCATCATCACCATCATCATCATCGTCATCATCATCACCAACATTACCATCATCATCATCATCACCATCATCATCATCGTCATCATCATCACCAACATTACCATCATCATCATCATCATCACCATCATCACCATCATCATCAACATCATCACCAACATTACCATCACCACCATCATCACCACCACCATCTCTGTCATCAACACCATCACCATCACCATCACCATCATCATCATCATCACCATCATCGTCATCAACATCATCAACACCATCACCATCATCATCATCATCACCATCATCATCATCACCAACATCACCATCATTACCACCATCACCATCATCACCACCACCATCATTGTCATCAACACCGTCATCACCATCACCATCATCATCATCAGCGTCATCCGCACTAATCATATCCAATTTCCGTTTTTACCCTCATCATATCTCATCATCCTCTTTGTGTTTTCTTTTTATTTTTGACCGCGCCCTCCACATGGACCTTCGGCGATGCCACCCCGCCAAACTCTCATTGAGCCCGGCTTTGCATGCACCTCAACCTCTCTTAGGAACAGGTGGCCAACCTACCCCTTCATTAAAGGCCGAGCATTCAGGTGAACACAACCAAGAACTGAGAGAAACTTTGCACATGATGTGTCGATCCCAACGATCACTGCTGCTGACAAGAATAGAGAGACATGCCAAATGACCATCATTATCAGCATTGATCATCCAAATAAACAAACAAACTGTGAATGATGAAAGGAGAAGGCCCTGGCAGCAAAAGTGCGACAATATTCTCAAATCGAACACTTGGAGGCAAATCAGAATGTAAACCCCGCCCAATTCTTCAGTTCGGCGCTTGCAAGACTTCCTCCCCCGCCCGAAAAAAACATGCCCGTGCGAAAACTGCCTGGCTTCCAAAACGCACACCTTGCTTGCATGTGTAAGTCCAAGCCATATGTTTCTCACTCGTCTGATGAATCTTATTACACCCAACCGGAAAGCATGCAGCCCATGTGTTTTGCAAACGCTGCCGCCCTATCCGGTTCATAGGTGCCAACACATCAATGGAATGAAACATGTGTGCAGTTCGGGCCTGCTCTGTATCTACGCAAAGAACCTGCACTGAATATTCTGAACTTCTCCGTGCTGCTGAGCAAAGTAGTAGCATATCGGGGAACTAGACCGAAGCATATGACCCAGGAGTTTCCAATGACAGTGGAGGAGCAAAACATTGCAAAGACCTCCTCACCAGCATCGCCCTCACAGCTGGGCTATATGCTGAACGGTGGACATTTGCTGTGTGTCTGTCCAACTGGGGTGCCGTTTCAAATCCTAAAGCCCACGCCAGCAGAGTCGAACAGTGGAATGATACGGACAAGGTCTAGATTATAGGCTGTAGGCAGCACCATCCCCCCGGCCCACCGCGGAGTAAGCGAATTGAACAAATACATCCGTTCGCCCACTGGAGCCGATAGCGCAGTCAAGAACTTTCTGTTGCAGAAAACATCGGAACAGTTCGTCGCAGAAGGCTGTGAGCACATTCCTTATTATGTTCGTGGACGGACAAAGGCATGCCTAAAAAAGTGGCAATTTGGACCTGCTGTATTCCTACCAGGGAAGTGGGAAGAATGGATGGCAAACTGGCAAGCAGACTTTCGGGACTTTGGATTTGGAGATATTGATATCAAGACCCGCGGCAGCCAGAACATCATGAAGAATAGGAAATAAACGGCAAAGTTGAGACTCAGACATATCTTTGGAGCACATGATATACACTGTCATCCACAAACCACGAGGTCCAAAAATCCCCGTTGGGCGTTCAACTTAGGGTGCAACACCAGGTTTTCATCCCAAAAACAAGGTATGAGCAAAAAAAAATGAAACAATGAAAAGCTGACCTGACCCCTATTTCTGAAAATGAAAAATCAAGGTACAAAAGATTAAACCCAGTATCTCTGGGGCATGTTGAAAATCAAAAAACAAATGCACAAGAGATGAAAACAGCAGTGCGCAGCATGTGTTCCAAAAAACCCTTAAACTATAAAATCAGAACTTCCCCAGAGAACGGTCAACCACATCCTTTTCATCCCACCCAGCTTCCGCTCCCACATCGTATCAATGCCTTGTTGGCATCGAAAATGCCAAAGCTTTCAATTTCAAAGTTGCCATATCAAAAAGAAAAACAAACATTTTTTTTGAGGTAACAGCTCTCCATGTTACGCCACGCATTTGTGCCAACCCATCCTGAACCAAAGCCCCAAAGGTAAACCATTAAATTTCACATCCTTAGGCCTTAGACTTTCATCTCACACATCCCTCTTTTGAACTTTGCTGGAACAGAGTACACCACGCATTTGTGCCCACCCATCCTGAACCTACCTCCCAAAGATACACCACAAAACCTCAGACCCTAAGATTTTCATCTCACACATCTGTTTTGAACTTTGCCGGAACAGCTCTCCATGTTACACCACGCACGTGAGCCAACCCATCCTGAACCAACGTCCCAAGACACACTACAAACTTCAGATCCGAAAATTTTCATCTCACACATCCCTGTTTTGAACTTTGCCGGAACAGATTACACCACGCATTTGTGCCAACCCATCCTGAACCTACCTCCCAAAGTTACACCACAAAACCTCAGACCCTAGGATTTTCATCTCACACATCTGTTTTGAACTTTGCCGGAACAGCTCTCCATGTTACACCACGCATACGCATGTGAGCCAACTCATCCTGAACCAACGTCCCAAGACACACTACAAACTTCAGATCCGAAAATTTTCATCTCACACATCCCTGTTTTGAACTTTGCCGGAACAGATTACACCACGCATGTGTGCCAACCCATCCTGAACCTACCTCCCACAGATACATCACAAAACCTCAAACCTTAAGATTTTCATCTCACACATCTGTTTTGAACTTTGCCGGAACAGCTCGCCATGTTACACCACGCACGTGAGCCAACCCATCCTGTACCAATGTCCCAAGATACACCACAAACGACTAATGACTCAATTTTGCAAACCCATCCCCATCCAACCTCCCAAGATACACCCCTCAAAATTTCAACGTTCACCGTATAGGCGACAAAAATGTCGAGCCTTGCAAGAAGACACGGTCGAATGAAAACCTGTGTGCGACCTTCAGGCCAAAAATGGTTCTCAGTAAGCTTCAGTGGCTTAAACTACCTGCGCCCAACCTATTGCAAAAATGCTCTCAAGAGGTGTTCCCTCGGATGAAATCCTTTGGCTTCATGATTTATTTAAAATCAAAATTCTAAAATATGTAAAAAGGGGCCAAAAGCATCCAAAAGCTAAAAAGTTGAGGCCCAACATTCTTGAGGCTAAATTTGGCTGAAATCTGGCTAAAAAAACATGCTCCAGCCGCCTAGTTTCAGCCAGGAGCCCCAAACGGGGATGTCCAAAATGAAAAAGAACCTGCCACAAACGGCGCATCCTCGCCGTTGGCCAACCATTGTTCTGTAACTTGACTACAAACACGTGTTAAAAACTCTTCTGAAAAGCGAAGGAAAATGGCAACCTCCTTGCACGCACCCGTAGCCCATAGGTTGCACCCACCTGTTTCCCAAAGCCGCAAACTGCAGAACTTGGTGAGTGATCAAATAATCCAAAAATCACGCGCTGGTGGCATGACTAGGATTACAGAAAGGTGGCATGTCAGATTGAACCACAGCATGCCCCAACGAATCAAGCGCGGCAATTAAACCTGACTTGATGCATACATACTTGTCCTCGAACATCTTACTTCGCGCTCATGGTGATCCATACTGCTTCTGCAACCTGGCCACCTGACAGGCCACCTAACATTTGTCATCAACATTTTCATGATCACATTCCCCTCTCGTCCCTCGTGGAACTGTAGTAGGAAGCGGGGGATGGCAAAGGTAAGGCTCGGAGGTGCATCGGGATCTGCTGGGATGGAGAGTTCTGGTACACGAAGTTTAGCAACTCTTGCGCAGGGACGCTTTATTCTGCTATGCGCGGCGCTATTCATGCTTTGTTCAGAGGAAGCCAAACACTAGCCCAAACATTAGCAAATGTGTGCGGAAAAGACCAGCAATCACTGTAAATTGCTGAGGTACTGTAGCAAAAGCAAACAGAATCATAATCATGAATCAGGATCCTGCCGGAGGCAGCAACAAACCTACAAACATAAATCATCATAAATCTGCAGCATTTCATTCATTTGAAGGGATTGCAGGCACCACAACTCACAATCAAGTGAATACCAGCTGAATGCAAGCACCACCAACCAATGTGACCGTTTGAAAATGAGCATTGCATGAGGATTGCAATGTGCGAGTCAAGGCACCACAGTACTCCACTGTGCGACCAGGGCAGGGCACTGCACTCGAGAGTTGCCCCTCATCCTTGTGACGCGGGTTTTGGGGCATTATTATTGATCTGTGAAGTTTTTTTGACATGTTTGGAGTGCTTGAAGAATTTGACGATGATAGTCGTAGCAACTTTACGAACAAGTCTTCAACTTGCCAGAGCTCTCAAAACGCGGTAAGTGGATGTAAATGGTGGGTTGTGCTGACAATTCGTCCGTAAAAACTCAAGTAACGAGGTAAGAGACCTTTGCGTCACTGCACAAATCATCCTGCCATGAACCTTTACACCCCAAATCCCCTGACCCATCAACCCTAAACCCCAAAACGTGAATCCTGAAAGACGTTGACACTAGTATCACTAGAACAGAGGAGAATCCGAAATGGAACGAGGCGGAAACAATAACACACATGAACAAATGTTGGAGAGATCCATTTCTAACAAAGGCCAAGGCACACAGACACAAACACAAATGCACACTTACATGTATACATAATATATGATCAAAGAGAATCAAAGGTTTTCCCTTTTCTGTGATGGTGTTTGATCTTTCATACAGTATTTGATCTACCCTGGGATGACGATGCATGTGCGTATACATATTTAAACCGACACAGCTATAATATATATATAATATATATATAATATTATAATATCATAATATATCATATATATCTATATAGACGTCATATGCAATCACAGTCAAACACAATTCTCCCAAACATTCCTCGGTATCCCACAGGGGAATTAGTGACAAAGCCTCTCTGCACTTTCCTCTTCTTCTGGCCTCTGCCTGGAAAAAACAACACAGGGACGCACTTTGAATCTGGAGATGTGCGCAAAAACGCGCTTGCTTCCAA